TTTCATATTCTAAAAATGCCAAAGGGTTTTTCTGATAAAAGCAAAAAACGTTTAAACAGTTATGATATGTTTCAAATGGTTATACCATTTTTCGTATTTTATAATACCTTTATTTTTTAGAGAGTAGTAGTCATCAACTACATTTAATACTATGTATATGCTCCGCCTGCTTATAAGTAGGTTTTCTTCTTTGATTTGTTTACAGTTACGACAACTTTGATGTTATTTTCAATAACTGAATAAGCTGTTTTCATGTTTCGAGAGGTATATTTACACAGTTTTAGTTGTACTATTAAGCCAATGTTATTTGGCACTCATCGAAGAGGTACGGAGGCTTTTAGGAAAGTTTTCTGAAAATCTTGAAAAGCGGGCTTTTAGAAAAAGTTTTACTTTTCTATTAAAACCAAAGCAAAAATTATCTTTTAGTATATAGCAAAATAGAGCAAACATTTCTGATCAAAATGACATATTTCCCAGCTCTGAATGATATTCTGATCAAGAGCTATGAGAGTCAGATACTGGCGCCACCATATCTCGAAAGTGACTCACTTTAACACCATTCCGTAGTTCCCAGATTTCTCGGTAACAAAACGTCGCAGAGAGCTCGGAAGGGTCCTAAATTGAAGCTGATACATGTGGTTAGAGAGTGACAGAGCTCGATTTTTGATTTTCGTTCTGAATTTGCGATTACAAAAATATCTTTACTAAAGTTAATGAGCCCTTTCCGAGTTTTGAATTTTTGACGCTGACCATTAACTTGAAAACAAAAATATCAAAAATTCGGCTCTGTCAGCCTCTAGCCACATGTGTTTTCGTCAATTTAAGACCAGTCGGAGCTCTCTACAATGTTTCATTACTGAGAAACCTTGCTACGAACAACCCCATTTTGGTCACTATTGTGGCGACATCTCACAAACCATGCGAGATGGAGCCAAACAAAAATTTCATCACCAGACTTTCACTAGATCGACATCTCCTAAAAGTATCAGACTTATAGTTTCGGAGATAGGTTTCGGACGGGAGACTAGAAAGGGCCTTAAATGCGCATGGTCAGAACTTGTCAGTTTCTAGACCGTGTGGTTCTGGAAATTATATAAGCTGAGAAATACCTGTATGGAAATATTCACAGCGCTCATTGTATTCGATTTCATATTCTTTTTTTATTATTGCTTAACCTAATCAGTTGTGATAACTACAAGTTTACACTGCGTTTTGAAACCAAAAGTACAATCATCGCCCAAATGTGAGAATAATTCACAGTGTTAACAATAATCATTTCATCTTTAGCGGAGATAGACGCGTACCGATTCTTTCACCTTTGTTCATATCTAGTCGAGTAAAGAAATTTTCAGTTTTCTCTAATAGGTTTCTCTTCACTTAACATTTTCCTAATCCCGTTCATGACCAACCGTTTTCCGTGGAATGATTTATGTTCCAGATTCGATATAACCAATGATTTATCATAAGGATAGCTAACTATAAACACAGCTATAAAACACAGACATCAATCGTAAAAATCTTCTAAGGTAGATGACGATCCTCACCGGACTTAACACAAACAATTTCGTAACGGATATAGTAACAATAAAGTTTTTATTCATCCAGTCAAAATTTACCATGTTTAAATTGATAGTTAAAAACTGGATTTAACCATTTGTTTTAAATAGAACAAGAATTACTGCAAGAAAAGTGAATCTTCACGTGCCCCATATAAATAGCTAAGGTCTCAGAATCTTGAACATTTAAAAACCTCATATTGATTTGCCCAGTTTTCCAGAGAAGTAATTCAATCGTTCTAGAAAGTAGAAAAGTCCATGAAGAACTGAAAACAGGTCTCTATATGGGACAAATGGTGAACGCAGTTTTCTTGTTTTTCGAATCGTCTAAACGTTCGAAAAGCACATTTTTTTTTATCGAGTTTTTGGACAAAATGTGTCTGCTGCTAGAGGTATCACTAGTACTTCGTCGCGGTTGAGAACAACAAGACTTTTCTCATGCAAAATATAACAAAAATTATTGCTAAACATCTACATTCACAGTAAGCCATCTTTTGGACATTTTTTTCAAAAATCGTAAATAATAACCAAACATCGAGCACCAACAAACATGGATATATTTTCCGGATCGAGATAAATATCCTGCTTACGGAATTGGATCGTACTGTAAGAATTAATCATATAAGCCCTTGAACGACACAACTTGTTTGAGCACATAGTTCTGCCACTTGTACTAAAGTACTTTCTACCTTCTACTCTTCCCATATTTCGAATAGAAACATGTCTAGAGTTTACAAACGTCTTGATTTGAAAAATGACCTGTGTTGAACATTTCAAAATAATGTTATACACTCCGCAATCTTCAGATTTGACAACGTACCAAGACTACTCGAAGTCACTTTTGTCAACTAAGTTGAAAATAGTATCTTGGCATATTTTTCGAAATCTAAAGATTACGGAAAATGTAAGATTATTTCGAAATGTTCAACACAGTTCATTTTTCAAATCAAGACGTCGGTAAACTCTAGATGTGTTTCCATTCGAAATATGGGAAGAGTACTAATTCGAAAAAAATGACACTCTGATAATAGGACTACGTGATCAAATTGTATAAAGGCTTAAAAGAGGTACATCAGTATATACTAAACAGACAACATATTTAATGTGATAGCAAAACATCTGTCTTATTGATCCAGTTATTTGCTCAAATTCGCTTTTTATCTTACGTAACACTATCCAAAATATATCCAATTTTGTTTTGTCATTTACACTTTTTATGATAATATTCAATATAGAAGAGTCAAGTAGAAGTCATTTTTATCTCCCTAATGGAACCTAACGCATCTTTTGATGTTATTATTTTCTCATCATGCAGAATTAATGACAGTCACAATAATTCAATTTATATATGGGACAATTGTGAGCCGATTGTATTGTTTGTGATAAAATCTTGCGGCATAAAAACGTGGATTTGTTTGAATTTTTTCTTGTATTTTCATGATTTTTTTCCGTCGTAGGATCGGATCATATAATTAAATTAAAAATTTATTAAACAAACCACATTCATTATTGAACTTGCTTGTCCTTTCGACATACAAATGTATGATCTCTCAAATTTTGTATAGAATTTAGATAATATGACGATTTTAGACAGCATTATATTCCCTAAATGTTTTTTTTTACACCTAGTAGTAACTGATATACTCTTTAAATCAAATCTGTAGATCCTATTTCAAAGTATAATTAAAATAGTGTGCCATTCGAATTGACTCATTAAAAACTATACAGATTCAAAAAATGATCAAGTATCTAATATCTAGAGAACAAATTACTAAATTATTTTCTTTTTTTGTGACTTAACACTCTAAAACAAATTTGGCAACAATAAAGTAAACAAGTATTTTTCGATGAATGAACTTTATTTTCCCTTTTCATTATACTTTACATTAACAGAAAAACTCAACATCAAATCATTAGAGATACTGGCGACAATCATGCATTATCCAAACTTTGGTATACCGGTAAATGCTGCTGAAAATGTTCTTTTACCAAATTTTGGTATACCATGAAATAGACTGGATAAACGTTTTTTTAAATCATGATTTGATTGATAGATTATATGTCTAGGATCATCTTGTTCAGTAATGATATCACGACGATGTTGTGTCATTGGACAATCGTAAAATTTACAAAGTTTTTCTAATAAATGCCAACGATTTAAATTTTCATCTAATGATGAATCAATCACGTCGTCTCTCAATGATGTTCCTTCATTGTCCGTATACAACTGTTTGAAATAGTCATGAGTTATAGGCATTTTTTCCCATAGATCTTCTGCTTCATTCGGATGTTGTTCTTGTTGATGACGATATTGTTGAGGATATGCATTCGTCCAATAACAGCCAAGTATAAGAAAACATAAAGTGGTTAAATGAAACATTAATGGATTCAAGTTACTTCTAAGAATAAATAATTGTTTCGAATAAATTCTAAGAAGAAAGAACAAAAGAATCGGAAAAACATAATCGACTTCAATAGTCAGTAATGGAATATCCACTTAAAACTACTTTATAATAATATATTGATTGAAATGCAGTAATAAAGCAAATTAGTATTGTTATAATGCAGAAACTAGTCTAAGTGTAAATTAACTTATGAGAAAAATCAATTATTTGTTGAACAATGAGGGAGAGAGAGACGATTAATAAACACAAATGAAATTGAAAGTGTTCAAATATAAATGAACGTTAAAATCAAAATTCTTTTTCTTTGTTTATTTTTTTTTTATAGATTCATTCATGAGAAACAAATAGTGATTGATGGATCTTTCTATAATTTGATATCGCCAGCAGAGATACCAAGGGGGAAATAGCGGACTCCCGGACTCCTGTGGACTTCTGGGCTCCCATGGACTCCTGTGGACTTCTGGACTCCCATGGACTCCTGAAGTCCAGAAGTCCAAGAGCAAAGTGTTCTTTTTTGGGAATCACTTCCCAAAAAATGAACACTTTTGTTCTTTTATGGGGAGTGATTCCCAAAAAAGAACACTTTTCTCTTGGACTTCTGGACTTCAGGAGTCCAGGAGTCCGCTATTTCCCCCTTGAGAGATACTCACGGACTCGAAAATGTTTTCTGCTCGATCCAATCACTCTTAGGAATATTGAAGTCTTGATCAAGACTTCTTTAGGTTATTATGAGGTGTCTCCGGATGCCACAAGTCTTTTTGATGCTTTTTCGTGATATCCTACCTTTGTGTAAAATAAATCTATCTATCCATCTATTTTCTTTCGACATTCTCGCATCTGTAATGCTTTCTTAACGCAAATATTTATATCTCTTTGACTTCTTGTTCTTATTTTTGAACCAACTTTTGTAGATACGAGATAATTATGTTAATTCAGCTACATATGCGAAAAACTGTTGCAATATTGACCATCCATGCTTATGTTAAACATAATGGTTTCACTGATTGTCGACACGAGTTCGCTTTTTCTTAAAAATTCTGTAGTTCGACTCGTGCGGATCTTTATCCAGTCAACAAGAAATATCAGGAGGAAAAAAGAAGTACTGATGAGTACTCCGACTAGGACCTATAGAATTGTCACTTATTCAGAATACTCATGAGTACTCCTTTTTTGGAGTGCTTTGGAACACTTCTTTTTATACAGTGCAGCCGAGGCACTGGGGAGCACTTCAAAAAAAAGGAGCACTCAGAAGTACTCATTTTTTGTGGGTACTCCATTGTAGTTTTTGGAGTACTCCTTTTGAATTAGAACACTCTTTTTCCCAAAAAGAGTACTCCTTTCTTTTTTTTCCAAAAAGAGTGTTCCATGATACTCCTCTTGATTTTGTTAATAGAGAAATAATTACATGCGAACTTCAGGGGAAACTGTCATGTTACATTCCAACAGAAAGCAAAAGGTGGTGAAGTTGAAACTTCTCATTATTCTGCTGACTTTTTATTTTACAAATATACTCATATTATAGGGCTAAAACTTGTCTACATAGTCAACCTATTTATATTTAATAATTCCTTGTTTCCGACGAATAATTTTTGCACGAGACAAGGGAAAATGTCATATTATCCCTATTTATAAATGCTCTCTTTTCAAATTGACGAAAATTGGGTTTTTATTAGAAAAACTTACTAAAAATTTGTCTTTCTAGAAATATAAGCAAAATAAAATAAAAAATTTTCATTCATAGCTTCTTATGTTTATTTAAAGATATATTCTAGACAACTGAGTGTTTTGCGTTTATGTTTCTCACTTATCTAGTGAACAATCGACAATCGTCGATTAGAATATATATGATGATAATAAAAAAACAAAATTTATTTTATATTATTAGGTCATTACATCTTCTATTTTGTAATTAGAATAGGTCACGATCTTAATAAATTTGAAAAAAAGTATTTACAGTTAGATAAATAGGAGTACTTGAACTGCGGTTACATTTATAAGTATTTAACATATAGAAAAAAATCTTTATATTCTATTATTAAACACATTTAATAAAAACTTGCTCCGCTAATTTATGATCAATGAAATAAACAATAATTCTTAAAATTTTGATTCAATTAGATAATAGTACATTATATTATATATCTACTTATAGTCGTACTAATATTTAAAACTTGAAAATAATTCAAATATCTAAAACTTACCGTACAATAACAGCTATACAGTAGTTTTAACAGTTTCGTCGTGATTGTGCCACTAACTTTAAAATAATTTTGATTCATTATAATAATTCACGGCCTCTTTTTTTCCTCTCCTCCTCCTCCTCCTCTGTTTCTTTTTTCGTCATAAAAAATATGTCGACTTCCATTGACATGCTTAGGCATTGTTGAATATATTTCCATATAATAAATTGAACAAATATTTTTTTGCATGCTTATTAGACTTGCGTGTATCAGCCAATCATTTCTTACTCTTTCTCTCTCTATCTCTCTTATTCACTAGAAGTATTATAAAATTAGTCGGTGACACAAATTATTTAATAAAAGAGGAAATACATATTTTTCCTTTTTCAATCATTAATGATATATTTATTAATGATGCAAATGTTAACCCCCTCTCGTCAGTCATACTTCAGCTAACAATACTAGATTATTATCGGCATTGGTATCTCTCTGTCTCTCTCCCTCTGTTACACACTTTTTCTTTTCCTCGTAATTTTGATAGTTTAATACTGTAATTCAATTTCCTATCGGGAGAGAAAGACTAAATAATGTAAAATGCATCTCAATCAGATAGGAATTGTTAACGAAAATTAATTCACTTATTTTTATATAATTATGTCAATGACTCTTAAAAACAACAACAACAACAACAACAAATATTATCTAATAACCAAAAAGACTTATAACTAAAATTATCATCACTTTAAGATATGACATATTAGCAGTAAAGAATTAGTTTTAAAATACTATTTCGTCTGTCTAATATTTCTAAAAAATAATAAATTATACTAATATAACGAAAGTATTTATTTAATGTAAATAAAAAATGTGAAGAATGAAAAGTGTCCATCAATAACAGTAATGATTACAAGTATAATTGCTAGAAATATGCACGCCTTTAGGGTATGTGAGATTCATATTTGTAAATTTCTATTAAAACAAAAGAAAAGATTAGACACATTTTATAACCACTGTTAACAATGTAAAATACATTTTCAGTCAGATAGGATTTGTTAACAAAAATTCACCCGTTTATTTTATGTAATTATATTAATGATTTTAAATAAACAACCATCCATTATTATCTAATAATCACATGACATACAACTGGAATCATTATCATCATGTTGATATTAAATTTTATACTCTGGAAAAAGAAGTGCATTTTTTGATAAAATTGGAATTCACGTTACGTTTAGAATAGTCTCGTCTTTTCTTTGCTGGTAAAACAGTTTCATGTAAAATACGCACTAGAGTATCTTTAAAATGGAACTGGATCCTGATTTTATGTATTTACAGTGTCTTGATAGGATATGATAGATGTTCGATTTAAGATATTTTATTTAAAGTAACGAACATCTGATTTGTGACACTGAAAGAGGATTGTTACTTCTCATTATTATCAGTCTCACAGAAAAGGACGGAAAAAAACAGCTGACAATAAATAAATAAATAAAGTTAAGAACAAAAAGAATAAATACATACGCACACACGTTTACATACACTATACGTGCACCCACATAGTTTAAGCAGAGATAGAGAACATAACTGAAGAAACTTAAACTTCTTCGATGAATCTTTAATAGTACATATATATTCAATGGCAGTTAGGTAAATAAAAGTATAATCTTCTTTTGGCAAAAGTTCTTGAAGAAGAAAACGGTTTACTCTGGGGACTAGGATAGGTTCTATGGTGAAAATCTTGAATAAATGTTTCGTTGTGAGCGGTACAGCACATACTCTATAGTGTTGAATCGCTTCCTCGTATCCCACAGTTCTAAAATGTCCCCCATTCGATCGTTTCGTTCCCCATTATTGCCTAATCTGCAAAGATTTATGTTCTCTTTAGCATATCTTGCCATAAAGATCATTATCATATGGGTGCTTGGATAGTTTGTAGCAAGTAGCGTTATTCTGAGATCCGATCCACCAACAAAAAATTACTCTCTCTGTCGTGTGTGTTTCTGGGTTCATCACATATGTGTGATATGAGTTTGCCGACAAAACCTGTTTGAAACCAAAAATCATTTGTTTGCAATTTGAAAAATTGGCTTTGGGAGAATAAACACGGAACCAGAAGTAGACAAAGAAACGATAGCTCGTGAAAATGTAGACTGTGAAAGTGAGAAAAAAATAATAACCAAAAAGTTACGGATGACAACAAAACAAAATTCAAAAGCTTCATCTTCATCATCAAAGCGACAGTGTAATGAGCGTCTTTCCGATATATAGTATCCTGGTTCGCCATCAAATACTCATGTAATCGTTTGCGTTCGAAAAAACGCGTTTGAACGCTTCTTTTGGCGTTTAAATCTGAGTTTAAACGCGTTTCGTGAAAATCTGCGTTTGAATCGAACGCGTTTAAACGCTTTTATGCGTGAGGAGCGTTCGAACGTTTTTTTCCAGCGTTTGAAACCGTCTGACTATTAGAGGCGTTTAAACGCCAAATATATTTAGTACTACGAACGCGTTTTAAGGCGTTTTGGTTTCAACAGACGTTTGAACGCTGTTTTGAAACAGGTTACATCTGCGTCTGAAAGCGTTCTTATTGTTAAACGCCTTGGTACGCTGCAGATATTTGATACTCCGAACGCATTCGAGGCGTCCTAGTTGAACAGACGCCTGGACGCAGTTTTGAAAAAGGTTCGAACATCGTTCAAAACCGTTTACATTATTGTTAGTTAGTTAGTTAGACCCGCTACCATTTCTGGTGTAGGGTGAGAATAAAACATCAGGAAAAAATAACACAAAAAGAAAAGAGTGTTCAATTTGACGGAAGTAGTGTTCGTTTCTATTGAAAATTGAACTAAGTTAATTATCAAGATACCACCCTCTGTAATCAGTTTAAGTGATACCCATCATTCTCTTAAAGTCAAAATCCAATAGGTGTTTACAATCATATTATTTTGTTTCAGAAGAAATTAGCCGTACAGTAGCATTTTATTTTAACGTTAACTCTTCAATAAACAGATGAACACATGAATTAAATTTCATTCAAATTTTAAATGAAACTTTTTTAACATGTCGTTGCTTATACTTGTGCTTTTGTATGCCTCAAAGTAAGGTATTCATTTATTTAGAGAGAGTTAGTAGTAAAATAAAAATGCAACCTGTTCAATAATATAATATTAACAAATAATATAATATTTATAATATTATAATAATATTATATTATTGAACAGGTTGCATTTTTATTTTACTACTAACTCTCTCTAAATAAATGAA